TAAGTTGGGCTAGGTGGTATATTATTACAAATACAAAGGGAAGGCGTTTTAAAACCAGTTCAATATTTTAGTCGGGAGGAACAAAATTACCATTCGTATGAACTAGAAACGTTTGCCTTTGTCGATACTTTGAAGACATATAGAGTTTTCCTCATGGGAATCCGTTTCAAGGTAGTGACCGACTGAAACTCACTACGACATACCTTGACGAAAAGGTATCTAGTTCCAAGGATCGCCAGGTGGTGGCTTGCCATAAGAATTCGATTTTGAAATCGAATATCGTGCTGACACCAAGATGGTACATTTTATTTCTTTCATCACGACCACTGTCAGAGGGTGACGACAAAGGAGTTCGAAAGAATTATTGTTTGAAAGAAAAACGTCTTTACCTTATAACATCTGGTGGACATGGGTTATTCTGAAGTTTGATACTCGTGGAAGATGGTGCCGGGCATTTTGCCGTGGACAAGACTTTGTCAGCGCCAGATATTGGTTTCCATCCATGAGGAATTAGGTGAGGAATTCTTGGGATGTACCCTCTGGAAAGAAGCCAGCAAGCCTCAACCCTATCGAAAGAGAAAGCATCCAGATGGACACCATTCATATATACCATCTCGGGCCTTTTTACCAGTGTGAATAAAAACGCCTATCTCATAGTTGTAGTTGATGGCTTCATAAAATTTCGTTTTTCTGAAAGAAGATCCAAATACGAAAACGGGGCCTGTCTCTCAGCTCCTAAACCAAATATTTGAAATGTTTGGTGCTCCGAGAAGGCGTATATGTGACAGAGAGGCAACTTTTACGAGCAAGAAATTTGCCGATTACTGCCACGAATTGGAAATCAAACGAGTATTTTGTGCTACAGCAACATCACGAATGGACAGGCCGAGAGGATGAATAGTTCAATTGTTTCCTCTCTAATAGCATTCCCATGAAAATACCAACCTCCATACATCAGAGGATACGATGTACCCGAAAAGATTAAGGAGAAACAAATTGTAACATGAGAATTTACCTTTGTTCTAACTCGAGGATCAGAATGGTACAATTCTCTCTTTTTGTGCTCAGACGTGAGTCAAGTATCATCCAAAACAGCTAGGCATATAGTTCAGATTTGATTACGGGAACTTACAAGATGTGAATTACATTGCATGACAATTGTGGGTATTTCATTCAGTTCTTTCACCTGTTGGGTTGGTTGGCTCACTGCCTATGTTTTTGGAAACCTTAGCGCCTGAAATTGAAGTAGACATTTAGATTTTTACACAAATTAGTGGTCAAAGCTTGCCTCTATACAGTCCATGTAGTCTTTAAAGTCATTCCAGGGTGAGAAATTCTTGAACTCCAGGGCAGTCAGAAAATTAAAAACAAATGTTTAGGTGGAATTTCGGATTGATTCATTCAAACCTCATGAAGTGTTGTACTTACCAGTCAAGTCCCAAGATCGTTATGACAGTCGTCAAAATTAATTATTATTTAGTTAAGTCATGGAAACCATCCATCCTTCTCAAAGTGGTCCAGATTTTTTCAAAGAAAAAACAAAATACACAAAGTCGGTCGACCACAAATTATATTACAATTGCTAGTGTGACTAGTTTCGGCTAAACAGCCATCTTCAGACAAAATTAAATAGAGTACCTAGGCCATGTGGTAATTACAAATTCATCAAAAAATTGTTTTTAAGCGGTTATATCAGCGTATGAATATAATCAGTCCGGTAAGGGGGTGATTAAATTTTTAAAACGGCTGAACAGCCAAAAGAACCTTATAATCATGAGGTTCAACATTGGCACGAAAAAATTTTAAAGATATTTAAATTCACTCAACTGAGTTTCATCTTGAATGGCTATTGAAAGACCATTCAAGATGAAACTCAGTTGAGTGAATTTAAATATCTTTAAAATTTTTTCGTGCCAATGTTGAACCTCATGATTATAAGGTTCTTTTGGCTGTTCAGCCGTTTTAAAAATTTAATCACCCCCTTACCGGACTGATTATATTCATACGCTGATATAACCGCTTAAAAACAATTTTTTGATGAATTTGTAATTACCACATGGCCTAGGTACTCTATTTAATTTTGTCTGAAGATGGCTGTTTAGCCGAAACTAGTCACACTAGCAATTGTAATATAATTTGTGGTCGACCGACTTTGTGTATTTTGTTTTTTCTTTGATTATTTAGTTAGTCTGGTTGTCTGTCAGATAAAATGAATTCCAGAAGTCAAATAGTACCAAGTTGATGTCATACGTCACGTTAGATCTGATTTGGAATTAGTAGTCAGGTCAACCTGAATTTTCAGTGGAAGTCATGGTTTTGTGTCATGGATCGTCGATTGTCATTCAAGATCACGTGAGACGAACCTTTATTTCAATTGGCCAAATTCAAAACAAGTGCCAAATTGTGATTGGGTAATAATCACGTGCTCTAGCATTTCTAGCAGCATGGTGCGCAGTATGCAGAGTGGGCCATGGAGATAATTTGTTCTAAGTAGGAGTAACCTGGATTTCGTTGTGTTTCCGGGTCTTCTAGAAAATCGTGGAAGGGTGTTTTCTCCTTTTTCGTGATGATTTTCGTCTTGACCTTGACAAGATACAAATCAGCCTTTTAGTGTTGTTTTTTGTGAAGAGCCGCTCCTCCGTGGAAGGTAAATGATTTCAATCATTTTTGTATATGCAAATCATGGAGTAGCGTCATTTCTTGATTTAGATTTGTCGGCTTCCACGACGCATTTTTTGTCCCGAATCGGACCATAGATTTTTGGCTCATCTTGTGATTCCTACACCTGGATTGACTCCGGCATTCCCGATTGGTATGGGCTTAACAGCTCTACCCCTCTCGATAGAGGCTGTGCTGCATCAGCTCGTCTCTACGGCCTGAGGTCTTCGTCCTGTAGCATTGGCACATCCACGAATTAAGCTACTCCTTATTCCTAAAAACAAACATACACATTTCAAATATATAAATACCAGTGACAGTTTGGATTTTGCATTCCTTGAAAATCGGTCTACAAGAAGTTCTCCTGGGCATATTAAACATACATCGTAATATCCTCTTTTGTGCTACCAACCCGTCGGTCACTGCTACTGAATTACCACACAAACAAACTGCATATCTCAGTCGAGCAAAGTAAAACTTCAAAAGTTGTTGTTTATTCAATAGGAATCTTATATTTCTCAATAGAAATATGAGAGAAGATAATTTTGAGGCAAGATTCGAGCATTGAGATCTCCAGTTGAGACATCCATCCATAGAGACACCTAATAATGTGACAGTTTTCTTTTGTTTAAGATTTGCATTGTCACCGACCAGATATAGTCCTGCACTTGTTTGCCATGTATGAAATCTCACCAAGTTAGTTTTGGTTGGATTGAGGTGAAGATCATTGGAAGAAAACCAGGTACTGAGAGAGTCTAGTACTACACTACTCTTGGCTGCAATATTGTCATCACTTTTGTCTGATATTATAAGAGATACATCATCAGCATATAATATAAAATTGCTATTGGGTGATATGGCAATTATTTCATTAATATATATGATGAACAACATAGGGCCCAATATAGATCCTTGTGGCACCCCCATGTTAACGTCCGCAAGTGATGATGAGACATTTGTGTTTCCTCTCTCATTTCTATAATACGCTCAGACAAAAATGATGCAATTCAATCAAGTGGGGTTCCTCGTACACCAATATCAAATAAAACAAAGTTATTGTTGAACATTCAGATATAAATGATTTCGTGGATGTTCGCTCGATTGAGGACCATAAAATTGAAATATAAGTATCTCATATATTTTACATAATAATTCGCACTGTTTTACTTCGCGCATTGTTTTGTGCAAGGTATCATGGTAACGTAGGAAACTGAAGAAGTGTCACTTCGCAATTTGTTATCAATGCGCGAACCTTGTCATTTCTTCACGTCTGTAGAAAAATAATCTTCAAGGTAGTAGTAACATGATGATGTCAAGAATTCATTGAGTTGGCTTTTGAAACAGTTAATCTCCACGATAGTCTTCAAATTATTGGCTATTCTATTGAAAAGTTTCAGTGGTAAAAAATTTGGTGCATTCTCTCTGATTTTGAGTTTTGCAAAGGATACATAATAATTATTTGTTTGCCTAGCATGACGATTATGTATCTGTAGAAACTTGTTTTTTCCTCCGCTAACGAATAACAAGCGGCATGTAAATATACTGTGACAAATCAAGAATCGAGTTGAACGCTGACCAAAGGAATAACTTATATGGCTGGGTCTCCTCCACATCAGACAGGGTAGATATATTGAAAATGTTATCTACCTCAAATTTGTAAAGTGTGATCATTTCGCTTGAATGTATAATTCTCGCTATTTTTTGCGAATATTTCGGAACGCTCCAGGAAATTTTGTTTGCCAACTTCAGATAACGTTTCAGTTTTCAGAATCATCAACAATAATTCAATTCTACGATCGATAGGTGTGGTACATCGACACGAAGTTATGATATGGAGAGAATGGAATTTTCTATCGTGTTCTATACGGGGTTGCTCTCAACTGAATTTCAATCTTCATTCAACCAGTAACGTTGTTTACACCACCCATTCGTTATTCAACCTCAAAACAAATTAACTCATGTGAGTTCGAAATATGTCCCTGAAAATATTCTCTGAAAATTGAAAGTTGTGTAGACGATTTTGAGATTGATTCATTATTACTTCAATACTATACATTGTTATCATGAACTTCTAGCTGAAATTCTACTATAGATCTCCTATTACCAATGGATTCATTGTATGCTTTGTTCGATATGTCAATTATACATGCTGCATTTCCAATGAGCAACATCAATTTATTCCGGAACTCCATACGGAAAGTTAGGAACCCTGTCAGTGTTCCGCGGTGTACTTCAGTTGCGCTTTTATATTGAATCTTGTTCAGCACTCGTGTCATTTGCTTGCTTTTAGTTGAAAAGTGTATGTAATGATCATAATACATTGTAAAGACAATTTATTTCAGGTATCATTCATTATATTCCTGGACTGAAACATCGAATTTTGGTGTTCAAGAATTTTGAGTACAAAAAAGAAAGAAATACCCCAAAGAGAACGATGTGGTGCTGTACGAAAAAAGAGAAGCTCAAATGCAAAGCGAGAGTGGTCACACATGGTTTCAAACTTATTTTAAAGAACCAATCACACAATCACCCGCCAACGTTCCAGGGAGACATCACTAAATGTCAAATGGAATTCGCTACGATCATCACTTCAAAATTCTATGTACGAAAGAAGTCGGTAGCCAAGAATAAATTAGTGAAAAAGGGAAAATTGCCCATTGAAGATGCACCGTTCAAGTTCATAGTCATAGAAGCTAACATGGATTCACTTCAAGACGACCCGATTGTTATTGAAGAAGATTCGTTTTAGTCATCGATAATTCAAGAATATATTCATTGAGATGTATATTTCTCCACCATTATGAAATTCCATACGAAATAAAAACAAATGTGGTACTATTGTTGCAAGTGGTTGTATTTTAGTGTTGTATCGGCGGTAAACAATAACACATATACAGGGTGTTACAAATTCGTGGCTTAGCTTAGCATGGGAATCTCGGTAACCTGAAGAGATGAAGAGTAGGTTGAACTAAGGCAAAGATGCACCATTTCATGCTCAACATAATGCTGCTTTCAAATTGTAAGAATTTTAATTATTTCCGGAGATACCCGGAAAAAAAGAAAAATATGCAAAATCATTTTTATTTATTATTCAGTTTATTTGAAGAGATATATCAAAATGAATGTCTCTTCATCATTGTCACTTTTCCTCTTCTACAAAATGGAATTGTCAAGTTGGAAACCCAAAGTTTTTTCTTCGAGCGGCCATCATCAACTTTATTTTTTCAAATTCGGACCTAGATTTGTTATTCCATATTTCGATAGTTTTCGATCACGTTGATATGATGGTGTATCAAAACAATACTTAAAATGTTTACTTCAATGAAAAAAATGTTTATGAAAGGTATATGGAGATACTCATTTTTGAGTATTCATTTGTCTTCGTCTAACACATTATTGAGTGCGAAGTACCTCCTACATGATTGAATTGCCTTATTCTAAATGTATTATTGGTTAAACAAAACGAAAAATGATAATCAAGACATTTTTTATCATTTAATGAAATAATAATATTTATGAATCATGAAAACACAATTTAATCAATATACTTAAAAAATATCGAGCGTTAATTCTTCTTTCATAGTGAAAGCTCAGGAATATTTCCGTTCATTGAGCATTCATTTTTTCCAAAACTCCTCTCACAGACCTTTCAACAGATCACCTTCGTAATGATCGAAAAGCGGTTATAATTTGCTGCCGCAGTTCGTCTGAAAGTTGATGTTCGATGATGAAGGCAATGGGACTGTTTTTGTTAACTGTGTTCTTTATGGCGCTCCAGAGAAAAAATCTAGTGAAACAAGCAAAAAGATGTTTCAACGCAAAAGGAAATATTTTTGGGTATAACTAATAATACATTTCGACGTGGCAAATAGCCAGGGAAGTAGTTGTTCTCTGTTGAATATTCAGAATGATGTGTGCATATACATATTTTTGTCTGAAGGAGAATGCAAATTCTAAATTTCAGAAGTTTTTTTTTTATTTTCAAACTCTTCCCTAATAACACAATTACATCTGTAAGACATCGTAGAAACATCCATATGGGATGATAGGAACATCTCTGGAAAATCCCTATTTTCCTTGGGACATTCTTGGGATGTTGCTGGCAACACCCGTGTCAGCATTTGCGATGTCTTATGAACATCCCATCAGAATGTTTGTGGGATGATACGGGATGTACCAGAGACATTCAGGGTACTTGATATGGAACATCTTGAAGAGACTTTTAGGATGTTTTTTGTTTGATGACAGTAATGGATGACACGACGGTATGCATTATTTTCAATCTGATATCCTGAAAATGGCCGAACTATTTCCAGATATAAAGTAACAATCCGAGTCCGAATAAGGTCGGTGCGATCCAATAACTAATGGAAGATGATAACAGTTGTTTGAGGCCCATGGCTCATATTTGTTGACGCTGGTCCGACGGCTGTTAGTAACTCTTAGCAACGTAGTTGTACCGCCATCTATCGGCTGGTATAACAAATAGATTCAGCAATAAATATGCTGAAGAGATGTATTTCAATTTTGTCGTTTATTACATGGTTCATGAAGTTGAGCAGGTACTTTCGTAATGTTATTGAGGCATATTTAGTATAATTATTTCAATTTGTTATCGATGAGATTAGCCGGCGTTGGTATAGGTATATAATTATATTAGTGTGAATACAGTTTTGATTTCCATTTTTTACCAACTTTTCAATGTTTCACACAATTGTTTGAAAAAAGATCGAATGGGATGTTTCTAGAACATTCAATGAAAACATCTGATGGATGTCCCAAGAGAAACATCTCTGGGATATCGTACCTAAGTCTGAAACATTAGGACATTTGTAAAACATTAGCGGGATGTACAAGCAAGATCCTTTGTTGTTAGGGTTATCGTGTGTGTTCAATAGGTATAATTCAATATTCGTCGTGGCATATAGCCAGGAAAGTAGTTGTTTTCTATCGAATAAACTGAAAAAGAGTAGATATTCTCATCACATAGAGAATGCGAATTCTCAATGTATTGCTTCATTTATCCCATTCATATGGCACGCTGTGAGTAGGCGATAAACGTGCTCCTAGTTAAATCTATTAAATATCCAGTATCTCACCGAATTGAATTCTAAAAAATTGCAGACGGTATAATAAAGTGTCATTCTACAAGATTGTGAAGTGGAAATACAGGAAAAATGGTTCTAACTCGAGAAGTTTGTGAAGAAATCAAGAATAATATTAATAATGCATTGGGAAAATGTATGAGCGATCAAGCATTCATAAAAACATTAGCAGATAATGTTTCCGAAGCAGTCACAAAAACCGTCAACAAAAAACTTCAGATTCTAGAACAAAAAATTAATGACTTAAAAACCAATTTACAAGAAATGAAAGCTGATACAGACGCAAAAATTGATATACTGGATGTCCAACTCAAGAAAATGAATGGTGAGAATGAATCACTTGTGCGAAATTATGATTACATGGAACAAAACATGAAGAGAAATAACCTGAGAATCTTCAACTTCCAAGAAAAGTCGAATGAAAATACGAGGCAGGAAATTATGACGTTGCTGAACTCTAAACTCAATTGCAATATAAAAGATCAGGACATAGAATTATGCTATAGGATTGGAAAAACAGATAATTCAACAAATACTAAAAAGGCTAGAGGTATTCTCCTGAAATTGAAAGACTATGAAATTAGGCAAACAATCTACCATGCCAAAAAAATGCTGAAAGGTACGGGGGTTATTATAAGAGAAGATCTCACAAAAATACGCATGGAATTAATGACCATGGCCATTGAGAGAACATCGGTGAAGAACGTATGGACAGAAGCCGGCAAAATTTTTGTAAATGTTAATGGGAAAATTCATATAGTTACAGCTATGAGAGACTTCAAACAAGTATTCAATATGTAATATTTCAAAATACTAGGGGCTGCGTTTCAGCTATCTGCAAAGCTTATTTCATCAATAATTATATTAGTTTTTTTGCTGATAGTTATTGATATTTGTTAATTTTTCATTATCTTCTTGTTTCGTTTTTTATAGTGTTTTTGTTGAAAACATCTCAATTTCAGTTTGAAATAAATATTACAGGGGTAAAAGAATTATAAATTATAGTATAAAGGTGTATTGACATTATTGAACGAACTAATTGATAATTATCATGATAGAATTTTTAGATATTTTAGATAGACAAGAAGAGGTAGATACAAAAGTATTCAGCACAATTCAAGAATGTATAAGAAGCACAAAAGGAGATAAACAATTAGGTATTATTCATTTCAATGTAAGAAGCATTAAAAAACATATAGATGAACTTATTATCTATATCGAAGCAGAAACAAAAGACATAGACATAATATTATTGTCAGAAACATGGAATGTTGAGGTGGTGAGTGATTTTCAAATTCCAAATTATTCAATATATTACAATGAATCAAGAGTGAACCAAAATGACGGTGTGATCGTGTATGTCAAATCTAGCATAATCATACAAAACATTTCTATAATTCCGATTGCACAAACGAATCTATTGCGAATCTCATTTTCCATAGATGATTTGAATATTGGAGTGACCGCAACATATAGAGTACATGACATAAATGTTCAGGAGTACCAGAACGCATTAAACAACATCTTACTTAACTTGGAAAAAAATGAGGTAGAATTTTTTATTGGCGATGTTAATATCGATTTATTGAAAATAAATTCAAATGAAGTAAATAATTACTTGAATATTCTGACTACACACGGATTCATCTCATACATCAATAAGCCAACTAGAATCACAGAAAATACGCAATCAATCATCGACCACATTTTTGTTAGAAAAGTTAATTCAATAAAAAACATAACATTTTTTCCTGCAGTCATTGAAACAAATTTATCGGACCATTATAGTACTGCATTAATATTAGTCAAAGATGAAAGAGATATATCAAAACAACACAACAAAAATCTTCAGAAAGAAAAAGAAAACAACAACTATGAAAAAGTGGATATGGGTAAGTTAAACAAAGCCTTGAAAAATGAAATATGGGACGATATTACGAGCAATGAAAGTCCACAAAACTCATACAACATGTTCATAAACAAACTCAAACATGTTATACAGGAAGCTACAGTAATAATCAATAAATCAAATAACAAAAATCATAAATTAAAACCATGGATAACATTGGGGTTGATTGAGTCAATCAAACACAGGGATCAAATGAAAAAAAAACTAATATCTAATTTCTCCGAGAACAAAAAACTAGAATTCAATAGATACAGAAATTATCTGAATAAATTGATAAAAAATACAAAGAATCAATACTACAAAAATAAACTGACTGAAAATGCTGGTAACTGTAAAAAAACTTGGAACATAATAAATGAACTAACTAATAAGAACTCTGGTATGAAAACAATTGAAAAGATAAATATAATAAACAGAAATGGTGAGTTATTACATGAAAATATATCTAAATCAAATGCGTTCAATGAATATTTCATAAATATAGGATCAGAAATGGCAGAAAAAATCAATAAACCCAATAACATTCCGCAAGGTTTCTTAAATGACCGTTCCATAGGACCTACAATGTTTTTGGAACCAGTTACAGAAATCGAATTGGGTGAAATCATTCTTAATTTGAAAAACAACTGTTCTCCAGGCCCAGACAAGTTAACATCGAAACTTTTAAAAAATATAAAGAACTATATTCTCAAACCGCTATGTCACATCATAAATGCAGTATATAGGACTAGCATTATACCAGTACAATGGAAAGAATCAATAGTCACCCCTATTTTCAAATCGGGTAAGAAAGAATCAATGGTTAATTACAGGCCAGTCTCAGTGATAAACAATATAGCAAAAATATTCGAACATACATTAAAAAATCGCCTTATGCGTTTCTTTGAAAATAATGATGTAATAACTAAAAAGCAATACGGATTTATTAACAATTCTAACTCAGAAAAAGCCGTACTAGATTTCTTTTATAAAACAATAAGTACCTTGGACAAATCAGAAAAATGCTTAGCTATATTTCTTGATTTGGCCAAGGCATTTGACACAGTGTCACATACTAAATTAATCAATAAACTGTACTCATATGGAGTCAGAGGTCCAACACTTCAAATTATTCAAAACTATTTGATAAATAGAAAACAAAAAGTGAAAATTGGGAAGGAATTGAGCGAAACACAGGAAATCTCTATTGGTGTCCCACAAGGGACGGTTCTGGGTCCTATCCTTTTCTTGGTCTACATTAATAGTATAGCTTATATAAATAATTTTGAAGGTCATTTAATCTCATATGCGGATGATACGGCAATCATTTATTCTGGAAAAACTTGGCAGAATGTATATGAAGCAGCAGAGAGAGGATTGAAAGATATTCAGTTATGGTTGAATCTTAATGAATTAACACTCAACACAACAAAAACAAAATTCTTGCCATTTTCCTTATTACAAAGTGACTTACCAGAAATAGGCAGAATGAAAATACATAATCATGAATGCACGAATCCAATTGCATGTACCTGCCCAACAATAGATAAAGAAACAAAAATAAAATACCTTGGGGTGATAGTAGATCAACATTTGAGATGGGATGAGCATGCCACTCTTATTATCAGAAGAATGAGACAATTAACCTACAAATTCTACACACTTAGAGATATTCTGAACAAAAAAAATTTAATGGTTGTCTATCATGCCCTAGCGGAATCAGTGATTAAATACTGCATATCGGTATGGGGAGGGATGTTCAATAGTATTCTGAGTAGTATTCAATCAATGCAGAACACAATTTTGAAAATAATCTTCAAGAAAAATAAATTATTTTCATCAGATCAACTTTATAAGGAAACAAAATTATTCAACATCAAAAATATTTATATCTATCATACTCTAATTTGGATGTACACGAATAAAAATAAATATCACATTGAGAAAAAGAAACCCACACGTTTCAATGAAAATTTAGGTGTCAATTTGCCTCTTTACAAAAAAACGCACACACAAAGAACAATTTTCTATTTCGGTCCAAAATTTTATAATTTACTACCGGTTTATATAAAGGAGATACCAATACTTAGAAAATTTAAAGTCATTTTGAAAAAGTTCATAGCTTCTGATGATGAAATAATTAAACTGTTATAGATTAATGAGAAAAAAAACATGAAAATCACTCACCCACCACGATAGTTCATCTCAATATTATACCTCAAATAAAATACAAGTGCTTAACTACCTCTACTCAGCTTCAACAATATCAGTCAATGATAATAATCAATATTCATGTCTACTGAACACTGTGCTATATGTTATCAAGAATTTGTAGACTTAGATGCTCTGATGGCAAAGAAGGATAGCACAAAACAAGCACTAACCAGTGCTTAGGTGCAGCTTCTTTGTCCAAAGGAGTGAATAAAATAATTATTATAAAATTGTCATCACCTGAGATAATAAATAAAAATGTATGTATGTAAAAAAAATATTAATATATATCCATTTTTGTGTGTTCATAATTTATCTGAGGATATTCCTTTTCAAGAACAATCCAATTATGTAGGAGTTACATCGCACTGAATAATGTGTTAGACAGAGACAAATTAATACCAATGACGCTGTGAAATTTTTTTTCACAGAAGTCAACATTTTATGAACTGTTTAGGTACACCATTATATCAAAGATATCGAAAACTATCGAAAAATGCAATAAAAAAATCCAGGTCCGTATTTTGAAAAATAAAGTTGATGATGGCCGCTCGAAGGGGAAACGTCGGATTTCCAATTTGACAATTCCAATTTGTAGAGGCTGAAAAGTGGCAAATATAGTTATTCATACATCAAGGTAGTAAAGAATATCATTATTACTCAGGGGACAAGATTATTTCTCGAGGCTTCAGCCGAGTGTTATAATATGGTCCCGTGGTAAAAAATAATATTCTCCACCATCAAGGTGTATGTCAATTTTGTTCTATGGAACTGAAATGTGGACCTATGTCACTATAAATGCACTTCTTTTCAATTCTAATTAAAATATACTCAGCATGACAGCATATGACAAGTCGTTATTGTAAATACCTATCAGATTCGAGTTCCATTCCTATGAATATCGCATCAGAACAGTGAATTCGGGTTAATTATAACAGAGGTGGCTATGTCTTTATTGACTAGTGGTTCAAAAAATGACGAAAACACCTTGGTAGTAAAAACACACTTTACTCCTTCAAAAAGGGTGAATAATGGTTTCATAGCTAGTGGTGGAAAAATTCTTATCGATGCACCGGATCTCGAAATATATTTTTTTCATCTAAATGAAGCATTCTTTATTACTTCCATTTGGATTTGGTTTACTGTCTTTCAACTGTTCATCACAAAAAGCAACATGGTGGTATACAGTGTGTCGCACTCAGCATGAAAGCATTTTCATATCTTCCGTAATTCTTCATTTAGGATTCTGAAAGTGCTAGGAGCGATAATTACAAAACTGAACTAATAAATACGATGTTTCTGAAACAAACATTGCATTCGATAGGTCATGTAATTTTGAATTCCATAAACACATCTATTCGTTCTGAGTTTTTTCCAAAGACTCAAGATTAGTACAGTTACACCAGTACAAAAAATATCAAATACAGTTACTGTTACAAGTTGCTTGTTACTTCAGAACGATAAATACTCTGCCCAATCTCGAAAAAAAAAAATTGAACTTGTTATACATGAACAACTAGTAACATATTAACTCTTGGATTTCAATCTGCTTTTAGAAAAAATCACTCTTGTCAGACAGCTCTGCAGCTTGTTTTTTTTTCATGTTCTGGTTCCCACGAATAGGGATATCCTGTAATGTTCAGAGAACATCTTGAGAACCAAGGAAAATAAGGTATGAATTGGTGTTCTTCTTGAATTTCTGGAGGTTATATGCCTCGGGGAACACCCCTCTTGGCAATGTGTTCCAGGGCCTCGCTGTTCGTTGAATGAACAAGTCTTTGGAGAGAGATGTTCTGCAGGTCTCCAAAGTGACCACGAAGGGGTGCGAAGCCTCAACTCGACGGGTTAATCTTGCGGGGACTGCCAAGGAAGGAA